GTTTACAAACACTGTACCACAACAAAGAGTCTTCGCAATAAAGCACGGAGTCTGCTCTGGAACAATCCTTTTTACATCCTTCAGTCTGGAATTCCATAAATAAAGGATTACGACATCAAACGGAAACAAAGCCAACGTGACGTGAGACAATCTCTTTTGTTCAAGAGTGGGAGGTGTAAACATTCCTGAGAATATGTTATTCATTTGTCGATAATTACGTCAGTTAGTAATCTGTGTGACTCACTTTACGGATCGAAAAACGTTGTAGTCGTCGCTTTTTGCTGATAAAAATCACTCCAAGCCCCTGATTGAGACCTCTGCTGGCGATGATGGATAATTCCCTGTCACTTATAATACTTCACTTTTTGTTTTCCTACTCAGGTGAGGGATTAGATGCAGAAGCGGTATATGCAAATTGTAATGAATGTTTTATGTGAAGGAACGCACAAAACAACATCGGGCGCGCTTTAATTTCAAACGAAAAAGGTAATAGGAAAAGAACTTGAAGTAACTGGATCTGAGCTTTAAATGTCGCTTGATAACAAAGCTTTTAGGATGAGGGTTCGTAGTAGTAAACCATTTCTATTTCGGGATTATTTTACTCAAGTGACCTTTGAAATGTTTATCTGTTAAACACTTGAACGAAATTTCTGGTGTTAGACATGTTTATTTAGTTGTCAGGTAAGACCGAAGCAAGTGACTGATAGAATGCTTTAAAATTCACTTTTACAGTATGGACTTCGTGTTCCGCACCGAGCTTCATGTCACAAACTGAATAAATTTAGTAATTTCATGGTCAAATGTCCATCAAACTGTAGCAATTTACATACCGTATTAGTTTGCTGTGCAAAGTGGAACGGCGGCCGCACACAGATTACATAAACAATTGTTTGAGATAAATTGTTTGACTGTTTCCCAGATCAGATCACTGCCACTAGTGATGTAACTAGTAACGCAGGACGACAGTTCGCAGGTTGTGTGTTTTTTAAATGCAACATAAACATACCGGAATTTTTTTTACAAGGTTTTGCTTGACGTTGCCGAACGAGTTTACCTAATAATTAAAATTACATTTGATTTGTTCCGGGCTAGTGAAAAAAGCAACATTTTCCGCGAGGAGAGTCTACCTGTATTCGTAGCTTCAAATCTTGTCGGCTGATAATAAATGAAATGATAAAAATCAGGAATGGACTCTGGAGCCTTGACCACTGGACTGGGAGCTATTAAATGGACTCTATTAAATGAATTGTCTGAGAAAGTACGACCTGAACATTAAGACTTAGTACAACTGGATGCTTTTTTAGGCTCATCGTAGTTATTCCCACGGTTTCAGTATGCCATATTTGGTATATTAAATTCAACCACATGATTTTAATTTAATCTTGCACCAGAAGAAAACTTTGGAAACATCGAATCATGTCGCTTCGAATCATGTCTTTTGTTTTTAAAGCATTGTCTGCACTTATTTTTCGCTCATTTTTCAAGATTCTTTGCTACCAGGAGAAAGCATAAAGCACAATAGCCAGAATGAAATAAGCTTTCATGGTGAAATGCTGACTTCATGTCAATTGTAGGTGAAATTGGTGTCAGTATTCAGTCCTAATCCACGACTGAAGCTTTTTTTTAAAAAGAATCCTACAATATTTTTCTTGAGTCTGGTTTTCACTAGCACATAAGCATAAGCCGACATACGCAGACGCTGTAAGATGTTGGTAATTAGGGAATTTTGTCACATTTCCATTTGACAAATGAATCTCCTTACTTCCTCTCATTTTCTGTTTTTGTTCTTTAGAATCACTGTCGTGGAGCGTCAAACAACCTAATGGTGTAATCAGAGGCTCACCTGCGACACTAGAATGGACAATATCATTATCAACAGAGGAAAAACTGAGAGCAGATCGCTTTTCTTTGCTAATTTTAGAACGGGAGATGTTTCTTTACAGCAATCTATGGCAGATTATGGCCGTTAAACAGTTTTCTGGTGGAGTTCACCAGGAAATTGGAAATGATGACACTTTTGATGTCGTTCCTGGAAGTGACATGACACTCCTGTTAAAAAATATCACAGACACTGA